AATTTCTGTAATAAATGACCAACGCGTTTTCAAGAGTATTTCTGGGCTTGATAAAGACCGGAGAACCAAAATATCTGATTTTTGCTGGTAATCCCTATTTTCGATTGATTTAGAGTCAATTAAATTGTTTTTTTAGTTTCACATGGACCACATTTCAATGGATAATGGGATTGTATTTAAGCATTGATTGTGAAATGAAAACTCAATCTTAAAGAAGAAAAACAAACAATGTAGTCATTTCCTTCCGGAGCTACAAAATATTTAAGATCGAAACGAAGACATCATATTAATTAATATTGATATATATATTATTAATTTTTAAACATCACCTACATGGATCCTTGTCATTTGAGTGGGGGATTGTTGGTCACATGATATTCAATAGATTTCTATTGCACGGGCGTGCATTTTTGGTTATATGCAGACTGCGTACCTCTCTGCCGTGCGCGTATCCTTGCGTGTATCTGACGCGAAGGCAATCTGAATGTAATCGAGAAGGCTTGACTCCAACTTTAATTTATCTTTAATATAAGGAGTAAAGCATAAATTGTCGATTAACGTTCTATTAGATCTTCTTCGATGCTGTATAAAACAAATAATGAATGTTTTTCATTCGTTCAATAGTACGAATATTGTCATTATTTGTGTAATAATTAATACTTTATAATTGTAATTACTATTATTGTAAATGCAAGTAAAATGATGATACTTTGTATTAAAAATGTCAAACAAATTATATAGATTCACAGGCGATTCAGTAAACTTATAATCGTGTGCATCTATATCAAATCGCACATAAGAATACAATTGTTATATTAAAGTTTTTGTATACTGCTGTCAACATCTATCATAACTATGTCAAACTCAAAACACCTCATGCCCTTTATAAATCTCATCAGTTATGAAGCCTTCTTCAGTTGTACTTGTATAACTTGTATATATGTATACAAGTAAACTTGTCTTTTTATGTCATCACCCACAATGTTGGCACTGTTCCTGTTAAAGTATTTTTGAGCAAAACATGTTTGATGTGAGGAATAGTTGTTCGCAATAACTTTTGTCCTCATTTCTCCGTATGGAATGCCTTATCAGATTTATACACAAACTATCATTTCTGTAAATTATTCTTTATAATGTAAAACCTTATTATGTTCGTTGTCATGTTATTATGATTGTCCATGTTTTAAACATAATTTCAGCATTATGTTGCAATGCATGATTTCGTTAAATAAATAACATTTAAATAGAAAAAGAGAATCAGATTCCGTGGGATATGAAACAATGATACTACGACATTCTGAACAGTAAGCTTGTATAAAAGTGTGTTCACTTAGTTCTAGGTTTCATTCCTAGGCCACATTCAGAATGAAATTAAAATGAAAAAAAACAAAAAAACATTGGGCTTAAAATACAGTTCGCAAACAGTTGCTATTCATGTTGATGATAAAAAGGAGACTGCATACATAACATGTTTTTACTGATATGCCTTTATATATAACTATTTTTCTTTACTCTGTCAGAAAAAAAAAGTTTGTAATTATCTAAATATTATTGTGTTTATTTTGTCAAAAACATAACCCTGTCAAACATGTAAAGAAGAGTAGTTTTGT